TAACACGTCGAAACGTCTTGTTTCTGGAAAATCTAGGATTCAAGGTCGCGAGAGGAAAGTAAAGCGTTCGTTCTGTTGCATTCTTTTCGTCTGCCGCATACCATGGCGGAAGAAACGCTGAACATTCAGACACCGATCGTCTTCGATGAATCTATAGTACACTATGAAACGCATGCGCATCAACCTTACGTCTCGTCAACGTTCAACAACAGCGACGAGGTTCGAATCTCCGTTCAACATCAAGACCTATGCTTACTACCGAGCAAAAGTTCGCTGCACGTGTATGGAAAGCTGGTCAAGGAAGACGGGTCCACAGCGACTGCGAGCACGACTCTGGTAAACAATGCCATTTGCCATCTCTTCGAGGAGATTCGCTACGAAATGAATGCTATAGAGATCGATCGAAACAAGAACGTCGGTCTCACGAGTCTCATGAAGGGATATGTTTCCCTGAGTCCCGGCCAACGATCCTTGATGGAGAACGCCGGTTGGCTCGACGTCAGAGAACGGGAGAAGTTGACCAATGCGGATGGTTACTTCGACGTATCCATTCCGCTGAGTATGATACTGGGTTTCGCTGAAGATTATCGCAAGATCATCGTTAACGCTAAACACGAGTTGATTCTGACGAGAGCAAAGAGCGATGTCAATGCAATAGTGCAAACTGCTGCGGAAGAATGCAAAGTCGTAATTCACAAATTGGAACGGTTGATACCGTACGTAAAGGTGTCGGATCGACGAAAAATACAACTGCTGAAATTCATCGAGAGGGATGCACCCATCTCCCTGAGCTTCCGTACCTGGGAGCAGTACGAGTACCCTCTACTCCCCACCACTTCGAAACACGTGTGAACCGTCAAGACGTCGACTCAGTTGGAGAAACCACGATACGTGATACTGGGTTTTCAGACGGGCAGAAAGAATAAGAAAAATAAGAACGCTAGTCACTTTGACCACTGCAACATCAGAGACGTTAAGCTCCTTTTGAATTCGCAATGTTATCCCTATGGAAATCTGAATCTTGACATTGATCATAATCAGTTTGCCCTGCTCTACGAGATGTATGTAAACTTTCAAGCTACGTACTATGGCAAAGATCCCGAGCCTTTGCTTAAGAAGAATGAATTTCTCGAGTACGCTCCATTGATCGTTATCGATTGCTCCAAACAAAACGAGTCACTCAAACTCGGACCCGTCGATATTCGTCTGGAATTCGAAGCGCAAGACAATTTCCCTGCCGATACATCGGCATTCTGCCTGATCCTGCACGATCGTATAGTGAAATACAACCCGATCAGTAGTGGCGTGAAGAAATTGGTATAAAGACGCTTTAATCGTGGCCCCTGTGCAGTTCATAAAAAAATGGAATTTATCGTGGACGTACAAGGTTTCAAGAAACCCTCGAACGAGTTCGTCCTGAAGGAGCTATCCGTGATTGGAGTCGACAACAATTTCTCCGAACCTGCAACGTTCCTGTTTCAACCGCCTTGTCCATGGAAGCATCTACCGGCTAAATATAAAAGTATAAATTTATGGTTGGAGCGCAATTTTCATGGTATATCCTGGAGCGCTGGGGACATTGCTTACAATCAAGCTAGAAACATTCTTCGAGTTATTCTGCAAAATGCATCTAAGATCTATGTAAAAGGATTGGAGAAGAAAGTTTGGTTGGGAGCTTTCATTGAACGAACCGAACACATCGCGGATCTGGGAGATCTGGGATGCCCTTCGCTGCAAAATCTGCGAAAGAACTTACTCACTCGCTGTTCGCATCATCATGCCTCCCATTTCCAATGTTCGATGGAAAACGTTAAATTATTAAGGAATTGGTTGTTGTTGGAATGTATTTTTTGATTGTGAATAAAGACATAAGATATAATAACAAGTTGTATATATTTATTTAACACGTATACATAGTATTAAGAGCACGATTACAAACATTGAAATTCAATCTGATTATACTGCCCACCGAGACAGCGCATGAGGAGTCGATCTTCGTCGGCAGCACGCACCATGTTTTGGAACAAATTGTTATCGTCTTTCAAGACTTTAGACACCCTCGCTGGTAGAAATGTCGAGAAGCTGTTTTCAATGTCGACGATTACTCTCGTTCCGTA